CAACTCTAACCAGATTTTCACACCCACCACTCAAAGGCAACCACTCGACCATGTCACCAACGACCTCCACAACCAACGGTCATTCTCAGCTTCATTTTACTTGACCCATCAGCAGCCATTTAAAAGTAAATTAATTAAAGTAGTGCAATTCACAGAAATTGCATGCACCTTGAGAAATGATCTATGGTGAGCATCATATATTATTTTTATAAAAATTACTTTTAAAGTGTTAAAGCAATAAATGAAGATTCTTTTGAAGAAAATCACAAAATTCAGAAAGTAGAACAGTTTCATAGGGATCAGTCTAGCTAAAGGGACAGCTGAGTCAAAGCCTGGGAAACAGAAGACCACTGAGGCAGAGATCAATGTAGAACACTACAACAATAGGGTCTGATTAAGACAGTCCAAGGGGACCAACAAGCTAGTCTTTGTATAAGCTGGCTTCCTCCAGCTGGGAATTTCCTGCACGGAGAGCAGATCCCACATGGGAAAGACACCATATCTGAAGGATGCTCTGCTTTAAAGAGATCCGTTTCTTTTGCAGAGTGTCAGGGTCCTTGAAACAAGACCATCCCAGTTCTGGCTCCAGAACCAGCCGGAGTAAAGGGAGCTCATCTGTCATTGTCACAGTTTCTTAAATTTACAGAGGACCTTTCTCGAAAGAGTTTCAATGTCTTTTAGCCAGTAAAATCACTCAATTTTCTCTTATGGCATCCCTGCAAAGGAAGCAGGAGGAGAGTTTTGTCTCTGTTTTATGGATCGATAACTGAGGCAAACTTCACTTGCCTCAAGTTTCTCCAATGGCAGAATACAAAGACGGTAGTAGAGATCTCTTGATCCAACCCTTTAATATCACTAAGGGGTGACAAATGTGGCACTGCTGCCACTTACCCTGCCTGTGCCCACAAGCCATAGCTAAAAACATGGCACTCTTTCCCACTGAACCCAGCCAGACTCAACTGCAGAATCCTTCTCAACACAATACTCCTCGCAGTTACTACCAATAGCCAGGTGCAGGCCTGAGGGGTGGGGTGGGAGAAAGAGGCGAAAATCATTTACACTCACAATGGACAAGGCCCAGCAGAACAGAATCAGGTAAGAATTTGCCAACTTTTCCCACTTGTTTTAGGTAGAGGTTATGCCAGATGTTGAAGATATGTTCCTCCCTAAAAGCATTTTGTTAACACATATAAAGTACGGCATTTTGCATTTTGTAAGCATATATTCACATATATATACTGGATACATTTGAGGGCTTTTGTACAACACTAAAGAGGTATGGGTAGGTACATGTAGGATTCCTGTAAAAGTTTCTGGGACAAAAAGTACAACTATCCACTATGAGCACATTTAGGTTTTCCACAAACAAGAATTAAGTTCAAATTAATGTTAACCAACATAATAAAAATGAATGTTAATATTAACTCAGCACCTACTATGAATCTGATCCTGGATTAAATGCTTTAGCTTTAATCTTCACAATAATCCTATGAGAAAAGAACTATTATTATTCCAATTTTACTGATGAGAAAACTGAGGCTTATAGATATAGTTTAAAATCACAGAGCCAATTAATGGTGGAACCAAGGCTGGAGAGTTCAAGTTCTATTCGCTATGCATACCTTCCTCCCAAAATGATCTTGATAAGACTATATTTACAGGTGGTTTCCATACTGATGAGATGAGGCAGACCATATTTAAAATTTCAAAAGCCCTGGGATTTAAGTTAAAAGATGACAGAACCCTTCTCCTTGGGTTTTCATGGGCCTAAAGGTAAACTTTGTCTTAGATCAGATGTAAAAGTGAAAACATAGATCACAATCAACATGCAGGTTTCAACCATTTTGTCCTTCAGGGAAGCAACCTCTTTTAAAACAGTTATAGAGATAAGCGGTATCTACGCATAAACGCACAGCTCCTTGAGATTGCGTGTGAGCAGGCTCTGGGATAGGAAGGACAAGTTCAAGTTCGGTTCAAAAAACAAAGACAAAGGCAGAGTCAGCACCAGGCACTGAAAGGAAGCCAGTGTGACTGGAGTACAGAGACGCTCAATGTCACCTGGCAATGTTGAATGAGAATTTAAGTGAAAATGACTGAAGAAGACCAAGTCTTTCAGCCAAGATTGTATTCTAAGTTCCTGTGCCCCTTCCCTATCACCACCTCAGCTCCAAAAAGCAAAAACATATAAAGGTATAAACATGTAGGGTTTTTCGTGTCTGTATGATACAAAACAAGAGTAAATATTTGGATGGATAAGACATAAAATAGAAATGCAAAGCATACGGTAGACAGAGGTGTCCAGGAGTCTATCTCTGTGGACTAAAGGGGCTAAAAAGGAAAAGGCTGGGACTTGAGCCAGGCTCACTGCTGGAAATCAGAGAATGTGGAGGGCGAAGCCCCCACAACACAATGAAGGGGGGCTTTAAAAATCTGTTCCCCCAGGGAGGCGGCAGGGGGCAGACAGAGCCTCCCCACCAGGACCTGGGCCATGCTGTGTGCTGGCCCGGGGGTGGATCTTGATATCTATCAGCACTGTGGAACAAAAGCCCCTAGCTGCAAATATAAACTTGGCTCCGGACTAGGGTTCTTGGAGGTAGAAAGTAGTAAATAGTAAATCCCTAGACAGGACAGGGTGAGTGCAGAGAAAGAACATGTGGGAAGCAAAGTCAAGATGACGCTCTAACCTGTAATTCCAAAGCACATGAGAAAAACTAGCACTAAGAAAGATGGCCAATAAAATAACAGCAGACTTATCCTCTCCAGAAGAAATGAAAAGAACAGAGCAACCTGAAAACGACCTTAAACTGGAGCTTACAAAACAGGTAGGTGATTGCACAGATTATCTTCATCAGCTATATTGTAGTGTTCCTCAAATTAAATTTTTTATATAAATCTTGAAGTTTTAGATATTGAACTTGTGCTTTCTAGGGAAGTGACTGAAAGTACAATGTCATCACTATATTAGGCATCAGAGAGACTGCTGGATATGACTGCATTCCCTAAGAGCCAGGAAGTAAAAGCTCCCAAGATTCTTGCACCCCTGTGGCACCTTTAGAGACTGAAAGGCAATCTTGGGATACTTCGTGATGGCAGAATGGACACAGATTGCCAAAGTGGACAACACAGATAGAAAAGATAAGCCAATTCCGCAACAGAACACCTTTCTTTGACAGAAGGATGGGAAAGTGCATAGAATAAGGAAATTGTCCCTGAAAATTAAACATGGGCTTTCTAACTAGATTCAGACTCAAGTTGGAATAAACTTATAAAAATTCTCCCTCTTCCCTGTCACAGAGGAAAAATAAGTGTATATGTTTATAAAGCAACATCATCTGCACATTAAAGTGGGAGATTCTAAATATAAAAGATGACCATTTGACTAATGAATGGCTGAATGACCAACCATTCTAAGTCAGAAGAAAACTGAGGCATGAAGCACGTTCCTCTTACTCTTTACTCTTTTAACCTCAAAAAAATCTCTGTGAAAACCAAATCAATCAATCTCAAACAACCCATCAAAAAAAGTTTCTGTATATTCAATCCGAGAATTTCATTGCTCTCTTCCAATTCCTATGATGTTATAAGCACTGGCTATTTAAATGAATCATGCTCTTTCCCTTTATCCAAGCTTGATGTTAGTGCCATCAAGTTGATTCTGACTCCTAGTGACCCTGTGTACAGCAGAGTGGAACCCTGCCCGGTCTTTTGGCACCATCCTCCCACCTTCCGATGCTATATCAGACAATGCTCCGCTGCTATTCAGATGGTGTTCATACCCAATTTATTGGAAGTGGGTGGCCACATCCTTCTTCCTAGTCTATCTTAGTTTGGAAGCTTTGCTGAAACCTCTCCACCATGGGGGACCCTGTTGCTATTTCAAATACCAACAGTGACATAGCTTTCAGAATTGCAGCCACACACAGCTGCCACAGTAGGCAACCGACAGACAGGTGGTGTGGTTTGCTGAATCTTAACCACTAGACCACCAGGGCCGGCCATTTATCCAAGGAGGACATAGCAACGTTCAAGTGGAGAGACACATGATAATGTGTCATAAATGTGTGGACATGCTTGAGGTGGGAGGTTGCTTGATTGTTGCTTCCAAATCTGGAACCAAGGACTCTGGGCCATATCTTGGGCCAGCACTTCCCATGCGGGAAGGCAAGGCCAGCACAGCCAGCAGATACTGAAAAGGCTCAGAGACTACTTAGGTTGTAAACCCACAGCTTTTTGACAACCCACCCTCTCTCTCCTTAACTGAAGGTGGAAGAATTACAATAATTAATGTGCATTTACTGCCATCGATCTAAAACCAGCAAATTCTTCCAACAGAGATTTATTAGAAAGGAAAGTAAGAAACAACATATAATAAGCTGACAGTTATTTAGGAGTTAATTATTCAGTTTTTTGTTTCACTTCTTTCTTCTTCCCACTTAATTCCTCTTGAGCCCTTCTCTGTTGATTTGCTTCCCGTCCATTGGAGAAAGAAAGCAAGTGAGAATCAAAGTAACTAACAGGGCAGTCTGTAGTTCAAAGCTGTCATAAAGTTTGGTAAAGGGTGGACATTATAATTACTGGAAAAGTGATTGTTTATTTTTTTGTTTTGGTTGGTAGGGTATAAAGGAAAGTGTGGGCTCTGGAGTCAAACAGACGGAGTTTTGGTTCTTGTTCTTACTAGCTGTGTGTCCTTGGGCAAATAACTCAGTTGGCCTGACTCAGCTTCCTCATGGAGAAAATGGGAATATTAATATCTGTGTTGGAGACAGTTGCAAGGATTGAATAAAATAATGCAAAGAGCCAAATACAGTTCCTCTCATCTGGTAGGCACTCAAGCTGCATTATTAAACTTATCCAAGATTTACTCTTCTCAAATAAGATATGAGTGAGAGCAAGTGCTCTTAAACTAAGAAGTAGGAGTTCCCAAGTAAACGTACATGTTTTAATCTGCAAGCTTCTTGATTTAAATTTGCATCTTAAAATTTGCATTAGTGAAACTTTACCTGTCGACTTCCCTGCTTGGAGGAGCAGCTACTTGTGCTCCTGGAAGGTGAGACCAATTTTTGGGACACCCCAAGGTTCTTCTCATCACTCATCATGAGCAGCAGGTCACTTGGCCTTGATGTAGTCAAAATGCCATCAGAAGACAGTGGAGCAGAGAGTGCAGAAGGTGGCTCAGCTCTTATCCAATACGTTTTAAAAGCATTTTGGGTGACCCAGAGGAAATCCCTAAAACCAAAACAAAAGGATTAGAGGAGAATGTCAGAGGCATCAGACATCATCTAAATTAGCCACTGATTGTCTGCAAGTGGTTTATCTACCCTACAGACCGCAAGCCACATGCTTAGTTACATCAGGGGCCGTGAAGGAAAAGATGCTTTACATCTATCTCTTACTGGTAATCGTGTATTGGTGGTTTTTCATGTAGCTTTGCAATATGACAGGCTTAAGAGCACTAATAAGAAAATCTGAGTCCAGACACACACAAAATCAGTACTATAAAAAACCAACACAAGCCATGAGATACCACTTCATACCCACTATGATAGTTATAATTGAAAAATAAATTAAAAAATAGCAAGTGTGGGAAGAAATTGGAACCCTTGGGCATTCCTAGTAGGAATGTAAAATGGTGCAGCCATAGTTGAAAATAGTCTGGAAGTTTTTCAAAAAATTAAACATAGAATTATCATGTGATCCAGCAATTCCACTCCTAGGTATATATCCCAAAGAATTAAAAACAGGTATTCAAACAAAAACTTGTACAAGAATGTTCATAGCAATGCTATTCACAATACCCAAAGGGAGAAACCACGCCAATGTCCCTCAGTAGATGAGTGGATAAACTACATATGGCATAAGCTATGGTCTGACTGTTTGTGTCCCCCCAAAATTCATGAGTTGAAATTCTAATGTCCAATGTGATGGTATCAGGAAGCGGGACCTTTGGGAGGTGCTGAGGTCCAGAGGGCAGGGCTCTCACAAATGGAATTAATGCCTTTATCAAAGAGCCCACACAGAGCTCGCTAGCTCCTTCCACCACATGAGGATACAATGATAAGCCTGCAACTGGAAGAGGGCCCGTTGACCACACTGTGACCCTCATTTTGGACTACCAGCCTCCAGAACCGTAGGAATAAACTTCTGCTGCTTATAAGCCGTCCAGTCTGGTATTTTGTTACAGCAGCCCAAACAGACTAAGACAGCATATCCACGCAATGGAATATTATTCAGGAATTAAAAGGAATGAAGTACTAATACATGCTACAACACGGACAAACCTTGAAAACACGCTACGTGAAAGAAGCCAGAAGCAAAAGACCACATATTGTATGTTCTGACTTATATGGAATATCCAGAGTGGGCAAATCCATAGAGACAGAAGGCCTATTAGTGGTTGCCAGAGGCTGGAGGAACTGGAGAATGGGGTGTGGCTATGGAATTTCCTTAGGGTGATTAAAATGTTGTGGCACTAGACAATGGTGATAGTTGTACAACATCATGAATGTACTAAACATCACTGAATTGTATACAGTCATGGGTCACTTAATGATGGGGAGAAGTTGTGAGAAATATGTTGTTAGGAGACTTTGTGCGAACATCACACAAACCTAGATGGTATAGCCTACTACACCTCAAGGCTATATGGTACTGATCTTATGGGACCACCGTCATTGACCAAAACATCATTATGTGGTGCACGACTGTACCTGAAAATGGTTAAGAAGTGAATTTTATGTTACGTGTGTTTACTACAATTGAAAAACCTCTTTCTGTTTTTTGGAGGATGGGGTAGAAGATTCATTCTACCAAAGGTTTTTGAAGATAACAAAAAACTATAACATAGTGTGACAAAAACTATGAGAGAAAGCAGAGTTTTCCATATTATCTATTAGTATATCAGTAATTAAAACAATGATCATCTGTTGAGTCCATACTACTTACTGCCAAGCACTACAGTAGGAGTGTCCACACGCATCATCTCATTTAATCAACAGTCTGATGAGACAGTACTATCTCTATTTTATGGAGGAAAAAACTGAGTCGCTGAGAAGTTAGATAACTTGCCCAACCATGCAGCTGACAAGAGACCAAATGTGGGCTAGATCCCAGGCCTTTTACCTTAGTGCTGGAAATTCACATGTCTCATGGCCAGGCCTGGTGACAACAGCTACTGCCCTATCTCTAGGACCTAAGAGAATTGAGGAGCTGGACTAGAAAGACTCAGGAAGGAGCACATCCTAAGCCAGCTTTGAAGAGGTAATGCCCCACTCCTTTCCGCAGCACAGTACTAACCTCCAAGATGGCCAAGTATCTGTACTGGGGAAGGGATCAACCATGGCAGAGACAGGGACACCCCTAACAGGTAGTTAGCTGGGCTGCCAACCGCCGCTCCTTAGTGGTGAACAGCCCTGAGTTAGGGGTGACTAACACGTTTGGTTTAGGCTTCAGAAGGCCAGACTTTTATTTAACACACTAAGTTCAAATCAATTCTACAACTTTCCTAAGCATGTTAAAAAAATAAAAAAAAAATTTATATCTCATCCATTCAGTTATTAGTGTTCATATAGTCTAATTTTAAAGAAAGGACATTATGTAATTATTCAGGAACCAGCTGGTTAGATATTATATCAACTTTTGTTTAATTATTAAGTACTCAAATCTCCTACGCTTTTCCCTTGCACTTAAAAAATAAGTATGCTAAAATCATAAACAAGACCATGAAAATCATAAACCAAGACAATGAGGAGAAATATAAAACCCTCAGAAAATAAAATTAAGGTACCTGTAGCCATAGAACTGAATTCCCATGTTGCTTTCATAGAAACTCTCCAAATCTCTGTGTGCATTATGCATTGGATCCAAAAATAAATAAGAATAAAAGCAAACCAACACCAGCCTCTGCATAAAGTTAGCTTTACTCATGGGGGCATGAGTAATTGTACCTGAAGTTAGAAGCAAATGCAATCTAGTTAAAAACTACCAAGAGAGGCAGTAAAGATATATTAATAGTTTGTTTAATAGCAATGTTGGCTGTTACTGTTTAAGAAAGAGAAAAAAAAAACTGATAGGAACCCCAAATGATGAGATGTATGTGGGGGCAGCCACTGCCATGACAACCGACTCCACAGTGGATAAGGAATACTAACAAAGGGTTTCTGTTTGTGTGTGTGAGTACTGTTTGCTTTTTTTTTTTTTAAAGACTTTATTTTTCCTTTTTCTCCCCAAAGCTCCCCCAGTACATAGTTGTATATTTTTAGTTGCGGGACCCTCCAGCTGTGGCATGTGGGACACCGCCCCAGCATGGCCTGATGAATGGTGCTATGTCTGTGCCCAGGATCCGAACCAGCCAAACCCTGGGCCGCCAAAGTGGAGCACGCGAACTTAACCATGTGGCCACGGGGCCGGTCCGCGAGTATTGTTTTTCAAGGCTGAAGTTCTGACAGTGAGTATGGGATAAGAGGTGGTGTGTGATGGGTGAAGAAGGGAGAGAAAAAAAGTACAGAGGAAATAAAATAAGAGTCACAGGAATTCTGAAACTGTGCCAAATCAGAAACACCATAACCCTGCCCCAGAGGTAACCAATAGAAAGAGTCATCTTCATCTCTTAACCCTGCCAAACTCACTTCCCAGGTATCAGCTACCCAGTCTAGGGCTGTGAGCAGGCCAAATCCCATACTCATGTAAGCAGAATTAAGGCCTCTGCAAGTACCACCGGCTGCCTCTTTTTCTCCTTCAGGGAAAACAAAGGGCGGGAATCCACAGCCCCTCCCACATCCATTCCCGGGGTGAGCCTGGGGTTACTGCCTAGGGAAATATATCTGTTTCATCCCCCAGAACCTTCCCGCCTAGCCTCATCAGAAATTCAGTTAAAATTACCAAAGGTGGCTTAAAGGGCAAAAGAAGTCAAATTCTGGGGAAAGGATATGCTTAAAACAGGGCAGAATAAAGAATGGAGGCAGCAGTGGCCCAAGACAAGGCACCCCCAGGGTAAGGTGGCCATGCGGAATGAGGCAGCTATCATGCCCAACCTAGGGGACGCTGTGGGCTGGCCTGGGTGTCACTAGAAGGAAGACCATATTGGGAATACTAAGACAAAGGACCTCGATGAAGGGGAGTCACAAGGAAGCCTGGTGCCTTCTCCTCCAACTAGCCGACTTCTCAGTGCTGACCTAGCAAAACAGCAAAGAGAAAGCCCTTAAAGGAGGTGGATATTGGCCAGGGGTCAGGGCCACTGATTCAGGGATGAATGAGGTGATGAGGTGGGTACATATGAAAGACCCTTGCGTGCTTTCGCCCTTCCCAGGGACTTTCCCACAGAAAACCTCCGATTCAAGGGATTTATTGGTTTGAACAAAATATAATAGTTTCCCTGGCATAACTTACATATAGTAAAGTGAACAAATCCGAAAAGCACTGACCGCTCTGTGAAGTTTTACATTTGCAAATTCTGACATCACCACCACCCAGGTCAAGAAATAGACCATTTGGGAGCCAGCACTGATGGCCTGGTGGTTAAAGTTTGGCACTCTCACCACTTCAGCAGCCCAGGTCCACTTCCCGGTCACAGAACCACACCACTCACCTATCAGTAGCCACGCTCTGGCAGTGGCTCATTAGAAGAACTAGAAGAACTTACATCTAGGATATACAACCATGCACTGGGGCTTTCGGGAGGCAAAAAACACAAAAAAAGAAATAGACCATTTGCAGTCTCCCCAGAAGGTTTCATCATCCCCTGGCCATTGATTCGCTGGGTAGGGGAGCCGATCCTCCTGCTGAATGCTGTCATATCTGCCCTGAGTCCACCTCTCCTGTGTGTACTTGTCAATGTGCCCCAGGACAGAGAGGTGGGACTTCCTGAGCTTACAGGAACAGGCTATGTGCCTTCTGTCTAATACAAGGGTTTGATGTGTGACGGAATTCACTCTGGGACCTGCTTTCATTTCAACAAACCGCCTGGTAGCCCATTCCAACAGGTGTGAAAAGGCCCATGCATTTTGCTCAATTCAAAAATGCCCTGCTTGGGGCCGGCCTGATAGTGCAGCAGTTAAGCTTGCACCTTCCACTTCGGCACCTGGGTTCGCCAGTTCGGATCCCGGTGTGGACGTGGCACCGCTTGGCAAGCCACTCTGTGGTAGGCGTCTCACATATAAAGTAGAGGAAGATGGGCACAGGTTTTAGCTCAGGGCCAGTCTTCCCCAGCAAAAAGAGGAGGATTGGCAGCA